ATTAATTAGCAGCACCTAATACAATCTAAATGAGGTCAAACACAAACAAGCTGTAAGTAGAAAAAAGCTTGCCCTTGAAAGTCGGGTAACTTGTTAACTGGCTGCAGCCCGAGTCGCTGATTTTTCTCTGTACAGAGTTAATGTACCAGATGCATCAGGCTTTGACTTAATAAGTTGCTTGCAAGGAATTCAAGATTGTGCAATACAAACCGCCTTTCCGTAGAATTAAGAGGTTGAGGTGGTGACGGGTATTTTAACAGGAGTCCGTGAGGGGCTGTAGACATCAGCAGGACTCAAACCTGTACTGCATGCTCAGGGGCTGTATTTGATAAATGTCTGGGTGAACGAGGAGTTTTAGTGCACAGCACTGCTACCTGAGCTGGGAAAACGTACAGCATGAGCAGTAACAATGTGAATTTCCTGGCACGGCTTTACGTCTACTATTTTTTTCAATTATTATTACAGTGGAAACTTCGAACAAATCCACTGCTACCTGAGCTGGGAAAACGTACAGCATGAGCAGTAACAATGTGAATTTCCTGGCACGGCTTTACATCTACTATTTTTTTTCAATTATTATTATGGTGGAAACTTGGAACAAATCTTGTTTTGAGACATAAGACATCATTATCTCAGCCCAGAGACAGCCCAACCTCGTGTACACAGTGTCCTGTGTCATCTGGGTTTTGTTCTTCCTCAGCCATCAGCTGCCTGGGAAGTGTTAGACAAGTCAAGACATTGAGGTGCTGGAGCAGTGCAAAGAAGGGCAGCGAAGCTGGTGAGGGGTCTGGAGCACAGGCTGCCCGGGGAAGTGCTGGAGCCACCATCCCTGGAGGTGTTTAAAAGACGTGCAGATGTAGCACTTGGGGACATGGTTTAGTGGTGGCCTTGGCAGTGCTGGGTTGACGGTTGGACTTGATGATCTTAAAGGTCTCTTCCAACCTAAATGTTTCTGTGGGTCTAAGTCCCGTTCCCTAGGGAGACCTTGTTTCTCTTCCACGCTTTTTTTCATCTCATCTCTCTAGTTTGTCAGATCTATAAAGCAAAGAGCGTGCGCTTTGTATTTGCAAACTGCTTTGCATAGAGGGCTGTGCTCTGCGTAGGGTGTCCTAGGCAGTCCTGGAGTAAATATAATAGATCAGTGGATGGAAGTCAAGTTAGCCTTTTTAAAGAAAAGCAAACAAACCCAACAGAACTTTGGGTCTTAATCGGTTGTTAGTGGCTTTAGTTCTTCCTTGGGCATGGAGTCACACACTGTTAATACGCTTCCCTTCATCTTCTGGTGTACTTGGTTCTGATATACTTTTAATTTAACATTTTTCTTTTTGCTTTCAGAGGTTTACAATGAAAATATTGTGAGCTTGTCTGGAATGTGCACGTTGTATTCCAGCCTTGCCAGGACATTTCTAAGACCCAGAGACAATGTAATCCATGAAGGTGCTCCACTACCTACCAGCTGAGGAGAACGATAATACCATTGTGAATGTCAGTTGGGTTCTAGGTATGTTGATGTTTTTCTTTTCCGGTTGAAAGAGTAGGCAGTTTTCACGTAGTTCTTTAAACACGTTCTAATCAACAATTCTGCTTCCAGGGTTTAGGAGACATCTTCCCCACAGAAATATGACAGGTTTTCCCTAAGATGTGTTTTATTAATGTATGATTTCAATTTTAGCAGAAACATCTGGAGAAGAATATATTAATGTTCTTAAGTATATTACTTCTTTTGATTTTTTTACTACTTCAAGGACGTGAAATTGCAAACTTGGTCTTAAGCAAAACAGATCTGCCAAATGTGAGCCATGGCAAGAGTGGGACCCACTGCGGGGGACACTCAATATGGGGGGGAAAGTCCTCTTGCTTATCTGGCACTTCTCCATGGAGCAGAAGGAAAGGCTGAAGGAGGCGTGACAGACCGCACACGAGGAGGGAATGTCCTACGAGCTGCGGTGTCCTCCCGCACCTGGCACAAACAGGGACTCGGTGCTTGCTGCTGCCCTTTCCAAGTCAGCTGTTCTTACCTCAGTCTTCCAAGACACTGAAATTGTGTTTGCTATTATTTCCAGTATCATCATAAAAACCTGAGAGAAAAATTCTTTGCTATGTTGCTAACCTCACTGTAGATCACAAACAGGTAGCTTGAAATAACGGTGGAAAAGAGATCTTGGGAAACACTGGTATAGGAAACCAAGAGGGTACTTTCATTGATATACGTGAACCCAAGCACAACTGTTATTTAGATTCTACACATAGCTGTGAAAAGTTAGAGCCAAATTCTCATTGTAAATCAAGGTGGCTCCACTAACTTCAGTGGAACAGTGCCAGCCCACCCCAGACAAAGACTTGTCTCAGTCTATTAACAGCAGCAGCCGAGTAATGGAGCTGCTTGGAGAAGTTCCACTGGGACAAAATTTTGATTAAAAGAACGGAGATAAGAATGACAGAGGAATCTACGTCCTGGTTCTCTTGTGGAATGTGGCTCCCGCAGGGTTCGACCCCGTGCACCTTCCAGCACCTCCAGAGACCACCATGCCTTGTGCAGCTCCGCAAGTCACTGCGGGGATCCAGGTTTTCAGGTGCAGTCCGTTCATTTAAATAATGTAACAGTGGTGTGATAGCGACTGTGGTACAGTCTGATTCTGCATTTAGTGTCAGTGCAGTCATTCTCTCAGCTTTTCTCTTTCTCCGTACCTTCAGAAAATCCAAGGTTTTCCTTTCACCAGACAGCTAAATTTTTTATTTCTTTAAATTCTTCAATAGACTGTGGTGAAAAGGATGGGGAATGTTGTCATCAGCCACTGATGCTTCATGTTTCCCGTGTGACCCTGTTATTCAGGGACAGACAATTAAATTTCACAGCTGCATTTTAGATCATCCCTGAAGAGAAAGAGAGAAAATTTCTCCAGGCATCCTTGAGTCGGTTTCTTACTGAAATTTCAAAAAAAGCCCAGCAGAAGTTCCCACTGTGTGGTGTTATGCTGTTTTCATTTCCCAGAAACTAGTTAATTTATTTACTGTGTCCCACCAGTCCAAGTTCCCTTTATAGATTAACTTGTGTATTTTGGCTCCTATCCATCTCTTCCTTTGGCTCAAAATGAATGATACCAGGACTGTCTTTGAAACAAGGCAGGAATGTGAAATTTTTTTGATTAAACAGCAACATCACCCCTGAAACCTCTCTTTCTGCCAGCTTTATGAGGCCCCACTGCAGGAGTGTGGTATTGGAAATGGCAGATTAAGGTCTGGTGAGTTCAACCTTTTTGAAGAAATGAGACATGTAACATTCTGGTGGGATTTGGAAACGGTTTGCATCCCCTCGGAAGGTGTGTCAACTGGAGCAGCTTGTCGCCAAAGGTTTTCAAGACTATTTGCTTTCTTTTAATAACTAATCATCCTTTAGAACTGGTTTAAATAAGAATTACTAAACAAGGTCACTGGCTAGCACCTACCTTGCTTGCCAGGTTCAGTTTTTTATTAGGGGCTCGTACTGCCTGTGAGTGTGTCAGAGGGGTTTGAAGCTGGTTGAGGGGGTCACACTGTTAGTGTGACCATCTCCTGCCTGTCTTCTGTTGGCCTGTTAAGCGGGCTGCTCGTAGAGATCTCATTCATTAAACTAAACCTGCATGCATCATGTCTAACAATCAGAGAGTAAATGTCAAATGCTGCTGATAAACACTGTTTTCTAGACTCTGCAAGAATTGTGTGTTTGCTGTATATGAACTCTGAGCTGGTGCTTTTTTGAGTACGTTTGGTAGGTTTGCGGGGGAGTTCCTAACATCAGCCATAAAAATATTTGGCAGCCTTTTAAAATCTATGATTTGTTACTGACAGCAGGATCTCTCACTGAGATACTCCATCAATCTCCCGTCAAGCCACTTTCTATAAGCCTCTGGAAAAGGTTTTCCAAGGTGTGTAGTTTTGAGCACATATGGGAATGGCATGGAAGCTCCCTTAAATGACAAACCATTTTCATCATGTTCATGAACTAAAGGATGATTTGGTTCTTGCTTCTCTGGGAAGCAATGGAAGCCTTCAAGGAGTGGGGAAAAGGCTGATTATAATAATGATTTCTTCCTATTGATAATTCTTCTGGGTTAATCTGTGCACTGTTTGTTCGGTACAGTTATCCACGGGGCACTGACATGCCCAACTAACTGTCCATGTGTTCATACTTCTGTGTGAGATTTTCTGAAAGGAGACATGGAGGCACTGGTGGGGTTTGGGGCACGCTTTGTGTAATGTCGTTGCAGTTGTGTAGTTGCAAACCCCCATGCTGTCTAGATCAGGGCTACATCCATCTGAATGAGAGCTAGGCACCGATCCCCGGTTGTGAGCATTTTTGGAAGCACAACTCTAGGTCACTTTGAAGTTTCAACCAGCCAGGTGCGTGTTGTATTTAAGCACCTCCAGGATTAGGTAGCATCTGAGCTGGGATTTTCAATCCTTCAGATTTATTTCTAGGCAGATTTGGAAACTAGTCTTGATTCTGGCCCTTGATGTTTTGCAGTTATAATGACAGAGCATCTTCTAATTTTATGTATAGTCTTTTAGATTTAATGAAGATCTAGAGAACTCTTGTTATCAAAGGCTTAGTTGCTCTGTTTGCAATAAAGGAAATAATCATGCTAAGATTCTGATAATTACGGAAGCCAGAAATTTACTTCTACCCACTCTAAATACTATTTTGACGTTCTCATGTTGAGCATGTGTGCGATGCTCAGTGCCTGATCTCCCCAGGTGCGATCAGAATCCTCCCACTGAGTCTTTTTCACATGTTTCTTTTTAGGATCCTCTAGATATCACTGGAATGTGACTACAGAGAAAAATGTGCTTTTCTATCAACTCAGTTGTGGACATTTAATCAGACTTTGATTTCTGGAGATGCTACAGCATGGATTCAACAGGGAATGAGATAGAAAGATGGACTCACAGGCAAGGGGGCAGACTGGGAGAGCTGGTAGAGCCTGTGACCTCTCCTGAAAATAGTAATCGTCTTTCACCAGTAAAGTCAATTGGCAGTGTAGACCATCTCTTGCACCTCCCTGGGAGAGTGGACTCTGCTTACAGCTCTTTCTCAGGGGGATCAAATGTTCCAGAGTATTCCACCCCATCGTGCTATGGTGAAAACTGCTGTTTGCCTCCAGACCAGGTACCATACATGGACTTAGAATATGTAAGAGGTATTTACAATCTCAGCGCAGCAAACTCTGACCTCAGATGCCTACATCCATACAAGGCACCAGACCTGAGCATCCATAACAACGCTCACAGCACCAGTCTCGCGGAACACTGTGGAAGCACTCCTACCCGAGGGGCTTTAAATCAGGGGCCGCCGCTTCCAGCTGCACCTCCACCTTCTCCTCCCACGCGACTCGATAGCTATAAAGTCACTAGACACCTTGAAAACTCAAGAGGGAGATGCAACTCTAGATGTCACAGTGAGTGTAGGGTGCAGCCGGCTCCTTGCGTGCAGGACAATCAGCTAGCAGATAGGGATGTACCATGGAGTCAGCACAGGGATGAAGCTACGGAGCAAGATATAGTGGCTGCTAGGAGAAAGACTCTGGAAAGCAAGGGCCTTTCTTCTGATTCTGCAAATGAGGCATCTCGATCAAAAATTCAGGGGTTAAAGATGGAGGAAAATGGAGAGTTGAGCCCATCCCAACAACCTATAAAGAGAAGCAATCCACACATTTTCAGCAGACCTTCTTCATTCATTTTCCAAGAATATTTAAAGACTGACTCTGTGGCTAATGTCCCTAAAATACTTTCTGCTTATAATGCAGTTCATGCTTATAAAATTCCTGAAGAGATGAACTCCAAGTCCTACCACCCAGTGCCTACCAGCCCTAGCACTGTTAATGATACACAAGAAGACAAACAGTATCCCTGCAGCGTATGTAAGCCAACTCTCAGAGCAGCAGATCTGCAAAGCGCAGTGCCAGAACCCAGCCAACGAAAAGGATCCTTGCCCTGCCCTCAGTGCCCGCTCCGTGCCGAGTTGCATTCAGACTTGGATCGAGATATGTTTGAGGACGGTTGTGACTTAAAATGTATGGAGAATGGTCTTCTAATTAAAAATGCTTCCAGGAAGCCGAGCAGTTGTACAGATGAAAATCAGTGCTATGACTCTGAAGGAAAAATTGGGA